GTGTATGTCGTGTAGTGTTTGACCCATCTTTGCTTCTAGGTATTTTATGGTTTCCGTTCTTATGTCTAGGTCTTTAATGCACTTCGAGTTGATTTTTGTGTAATTTAATTTTTTTTTTAAAGATTTATTTATTTATGCTACAGGCCAGAGCTGCAGGGGCAGTAAGAGGATTCACCAGAGACAGAGTGGAGAGCAGAACAGGCAGATAGTTGAAGTATATTGCTAAGGGGAGCAGCGGGCAGGTCAAGAAAGCTCTGCCGCACCATGTGGATCACCTCCCCGGCAGGCGGGGATCGAACTCATGCGGAAGTGTCTTTAACTTCTTAGCTTAATGCTGCACTTTAACCTGCTGCACCACCAGGGAGGGCCCTAATTTAATTTTTTTTTTAATTTTAAAGTAGACCCACTTTTTTTATTATTATTACAAAGTTTATTTTTACATCATTTTGCACATTTTTTTTTCATCTCAATTGTAATCCCCGCAGGTTTCCCATCACCAAATCATCCCTGTGCCACCACTATAGTCCCGTGCATTTCCCTCCCTTCTCCCCCCCCGTTTTTGATCCCATTCCCCACTCCACCCCCACAAAATGTCTCTGGTATATGGTTGTTCATTATTTTTGTTATTTTCTCGCCTGGTCCATTATACTCCTGCTATGAGTGAAACCATCCGGTATTTTTCTTTCTCTTTCTGGCTTATCTCACTAAGCATGATCTTTTCCAGCTCCATCCAAGTTGCTGCAAAAGACATGTGTTTCTCTTTTTTGGTTGCTGAGTGATATTCCATTGTATATATGTACCACATCTTTCTAATCCAGTCATCTTAAAGTAGACCTACTTTTTGTGTTTCTTCTACTTCAGTTTTATAATGACTATAGAATTTTTTTTTCCTTTTGTATTGACTGGTTTATTATGAATATCTTCTTGATGGCTGTTTATCAGATAGACAATACAAGTTGAAAAAGAGAATGTGCACCTCAGTTTCATCCAAATATCTCATACAACTAACTGTATTTTTCATGATGTTTTATACTTTCTGACATGACACTTTATCTCATTGGTGAGAATCCATTTGATATTTTTTAAATTCACTTTATGAAAATTCTAGGTTATTTAGAATTAAAGTCATGTTATAATATATATTAATGTTACTGTTATTGAGGGGACTCCCTTTGGTGAAAGGGGTTAAAGTACAGCACTATGAAGCAATCCACAGCCACTGTAGCACAAGTTCAATCCCAGGGTAGGGAGGTGACCCATATAGTGCAAGTAGACCTCTTCTGTTTCACCCACTGCTCTTCACAACACTGTGTTTCAGTCAGTTCTCTTGTCTGTCCTGGTGAATCCTCTCACCCCATACCTCTGATCTGTACCCCAGTTCTTGTGTGAATAAATAAATAAATCTTTAAAAAATACTATAGCTGAACTACAGCAAAGGTTTATTTATGTTCCACATCATACAGCTGAAACAACGATTTTACTATT